TTAGTCATGTTTCCGATCGCATCACTTTGGCAGCCGTAACCTAAATTCTCGGCGTAAACCGACCAAGCTAAAGAGGCAATCGATAAAAAAGACACATTTTGTGTTTACTGCTCCGTCTATAATAGTACGGCTGAGTTAGTAGGCTGGTCAAAGAATTAACCAGCGTGGAGCATTAGGTTCCCCGTTTTGGATGGCAACTAAGACGTGCCGTACGCCGCTTCTATAAGCGCGTTCGCACATAAGCATCACCACGACATATTCACTCTCGAGTCTTCCTATAAATCTTCAGGGTTAGGGTTTATATTACTAGTGTATATAAAGTCAAAAGGCTAAGTCCGTTTAGGCCTTCCTTCTTATTAAGTAAAATACGCCGTCCTCCTTACTCGGCCGTTACTTCGGTAACATCGGACCTATAACAGCCCTTCCCCTGGTCTGGCTTTCTGAAATATGACTTTAACCTTGAAGTGGCCTTTTGGCAATCACAGGGGTCCTCAATCTTCCTCGCTACTACTTCGAATCGAATGCAACTGTGGTGTTGAAGATTGCTCATGAGATATACGTATATTTGTTTCGACTAAAACGAGTAACCGAAATTCGTAGACAGGCCCTAATAAGAAAATTCTCAGTATCGAAAGAGGAGAAAAGAGTATCACTCGCCGCGATACGCCAGGTCCGCCCAGACCCTCTAGTGTAAAATACCGACGTGTGCCAACCTAATAGCCAGAACACTAACGCTACTATCTATACCGTCTCGCAGGCGTTTATAAAAGTCGCGGGGCATATTGCCGCTAGTAGGTATTCTTCTCTCTACGGCGGCTATATATAGGCTCTAGCTGCTTATCCCCTTGTATTCCCAAACGCGGTTATAAGGGTCTATTAAAAGACGCCGGTGATAGTCGGCCTCTACTTCCACGAAGAGTTCGTCGTGGGGGTTAGAAAGGACTTCGCTAAGTGCGGAATCGACCATAGCGAGCATATAGGATAGGGCTTTAGTATGGCGGAAAATCTCAACGGCTATATAAGGGACAGCCTCCGCCTAGCGCTTAGCTTAATCGATAGTAGCGGATGTCGACTAGAGGATAGCGACCAAGGATACGTATAAGTTATTTGTCTCTGTCTCGCCTTAGCGCTCGCCGAGAATGCGTAGGACATATTCGTAGACACGCATACAGATAACAATATTCACAGCGTCGAGAACGTTATTACGAATACGTAGCAGCCTGTCCTTATCGTAGTGGAAGGTCTCGGGCGGAATCGTATCTTCTTCCTGCGCGCGAGAAGGTCGCACGAGGCGCGCAATAGCACGGAAAAAGATAGATATATCGCTAAAGCCTTTAGTGCACTTATGGGCGTACTTAAGCTATGCGCGACGATACTATAACTTTAACCGTCCTATGTCCAGCCTGTATGTTATAATCTCCTTGCTGACTCTGCGCTGCTCGTAATAAACCGTCTCCGTGATAAAAGCAGGCCGTATCTAGCGAAGATAGTGGTTAGCCAAGTCTAGTTTCATATACTCGAGCACACTCAAAAGCTCGCATATACCTATGACTAGTTGTTCCACGTTGCCTTCGCGACTTCTAATACGGAAACGTGCTAATATATTATTAACCTCCCCGTCACGCATAGGGGTATAATACGTCTTAAGCACACCTACTAACCACTCGGCTATTCCTTCCAGATTCAGCATGCCTTTATAGAATTACTATATTAGCAAGCTTATATTCAGCGCCTCCTCTATAAGACTACGGTCTTATACCGGCACGAGCGTCTCTATAATATCCTTAATAGTCCGTAAGAGCAGGGGCAGACACCACTTATCGCTATACGCATAGCGCTCTATAAACTCGGACCGTCGGTTCTCGTCGACAAATATGCTTAGCTGTTCTATTAGAGCCCTCTAAAACGCCCGTGAGTGCTCCTACCTTGCCTTACCCCTATCGCCTAGGATATTAGGTCGAAAATATAAATCGGGGTCGAAGTTAATATTGTGGCGTAGTTTCGAGTTTCGTTTAATACGCGCCTCGTCAAGGTCCGATAGAGTGGCCTTGGTGATAGGCGGTCTAATTATGAAATTTATTTCCGTAATCGATTTGCTAGTACTTCTTTTGGCGCTGTACGACTCCTTGCTTTCCGTAGGCCGTGTTCCGGAAGTTAGTGACTCTATGGATATTCGTTCCGCTTATAGGGTATAAGACGATCTAATTCCTATAGGTCTGGTCTCGTTCGGGGATGAATTAAGTCTGCTAGACTAGAAGACTGGTGTGGAAACGGCCGCTGTGCTAGCTAAAGAGCTTATAGACAGGTTTGCCACGTCGTCCGAGTTTGTTCGAGGGAAGTTCACACCCGATATATCTATCTTAACGCCCTTTAGGAGCACTATTTCTTCGTGTACCGAGACAATCCGTTAGGGTTCTGTGTTTTAACTTGCCGCGTCTACGTCTATGGTACTAGTAGATAGAGTGTGTCGCTTTGAATGCCGGTCGCCTGGATATCGTCCTTAATCAAGCCCTATATTGCCTTTGTTTACTATGCGACACGTACTCGTCAGTGTAGTTACCAGAAAGTGGCGTGGAAGCCAGGCAAACGTCCGCGATCCAAAAGCGGCTTGCGTAAAGGGTGATATATAGCGCGAAGCAGTTCGTAAAGGAAAAGTACCCAGTGACAAATGACAGATGAGAGACGGAACAAGAGGTTGGTATATACTGCGCTGAGGCGAGAAAAAATAGTTCCAGAAAAGATAGCAGTATAGTATAGGGGGAAATCGATAAGGGAAGGGGAGGGAAAGGGGCCAAGAGGGATCTATTTAGCAATACTATACAAAGCGCGATTATACCCGTAGCGACTACTTCCGCTACAGCCGTGAACAACACCACCAGCGCTGAAACAGAGGCACTAACGTCGCGCACGCAGGATCTATAGTAGGAACTCCACGTCTACTTTCCAGAGGTAGCTATAACCGTCTCCATCTAGATCGGAAGGTGTCATATTTAGGTTGTTTCGTCCGAGCCGTGATAGGTCCATTGGTAGGCTATGCTACCAGCTATTAGAGTCCATGCCATGTTTAAAGTTCAGACGGTGTGCTCTAGGAAGAAGCTAGTCGGCGTTCCACTACCGATGCCGCCAATTTTAAGGCCTCTTAACTCGGTGGCTGAGGTTGTAGAGGCAATTTTATCCGTATAACGAAGAAGGCGTAGGTGCAAGCAATCCCAGATACTTTCTGCCGTATTTACTAAGAGTCTTCGCTAAGGAATTCTAAGGATAACTTGCCTGGTGCTAGGCGGTAAGTACACGATCTTAAAGTAGACGGGCGCTTAGCTGCCGACCCGGAACATCGCTAGCGCAGGCACCCCGAAGCATACGAAAAGGTACAGCCAATGCGCTCTTATTAGTTATATTACTTAGATTGCCTTTTAACTTTGCCCGTCCAGCCGGTCAGTCCCGCTAACCTTTTCGTATATAGCGCCAGCAGCTGTCAAGCAATAACTATATGTTTGACTAGCGTTTGCATACCCTATGCCGTAGCTTATGTAAGTTTGGCCTAAATATAAGCCCGCTTCGAATAGCCGTATCTAGGTGATTCAATAGGTGGTGTACAAAGGCGCTAACATCGAAGGCCGAATCTGGATGCCATAACGAGAGGGCTGACGGCGTGCATATAATAACCCGGGGCTTGGAGACGCACACCATAGGGTCTTCAGCACTAGGCCACAATAATAGAGGAAACTCTTACAGCACTCTAGTGAATGTAGGCACGAAGTCGGCGCACAGGCGCCCACTTCATATGTCGATAGCAGGACCATTGATGGAATAGACCTGTCGTATATCTTCACGTGCCTTTAGAAGGGTGTTAGAAATGTCTGGACAGGAGCGATAGGTGAACAACTCTACTTCACAGACAGCGTCAGAGTGGAATAAGACCACGCCCGGTAATAGGCGTGGTGCATCGCCATAAGTGCCTGACTCACTCATTGCAAAGATCCGCGAAGCACATACAAGCACAAACCCTCGAGCGAAGTATACGTCACCAAGGCAGAATGCTTAATCTCTGCCAACACGCGTGTGGGCCATAGGTTCAAATAGATCAAGGCGAATGCGCTAGCGCTGCAGGTGTCTGATCAAGCGTTCGGCTTGCCAAGCTTTGTCCACAAGGCGACCTTCCCGGTTCGCACCAATCGTGCCACACGAGCCAAAAACTTAATTTGAGTCGGCTTGACGACGCCGCTAGCGACCTAGTAATATTATTTGCGCTCTACCTCGCGAGGCCGATGCCGTCACCTTACTCTTCGACCAGTTTTGGGACGAGGTGCGCGATCCCTACGGCTGAGCAGATGGCGACACGAATACCTACATCGCCGGTCGCATCGGAGACCATCCTTGTTTTAGCTGTTCTTCCGAATAAGGGTACTAGTAGCGCCGCGGCTGCAACGGCTAGCTTGCGATCGAGCTATGTTGGGTTAAGGCTCGCTCTCCTTGTCGGCATATGTGGAGGGGTCCCTTACATTGGTGGCAGTCAGGCATTTCTAGGCGACGTGGTAGTGAGCAAGTCCATCACCCAATACGACTATGGTAGGTTGTGTACTGGACATTTTGCTGTGAAGAATACGGTCGAAGACAGCCTTGCGAGAGCCAACAGAGACATCCGAGGTCTCCTTGCCGTCTTTGAAACAGAGCTGATGAGGGAGCGGCTTCAGGCTGAGGCTTCGGGGCATCTGAAGCACTTGCAGAAAGTAACTAGGGACAAGCGACGGCGAGCCAATTACCGATATCCTGGGACGACTGAAGACCGACTATATTCCCGGGACCATATTCACAAATACTGGGACTCGTGTGACTTGTGTGCCGATGGCTCGGGCGCCTTCTACGAGGCAGCCTCCAAGGCGTCGTGTGCCGACACCAGGTGTGGTTCAGCTCACCTAGTGGTGAGAGAGCATCATGCCCGCGACGACGATTTCAGGCCAGAGATCTACGTGGGTCGAATCGGCTCAGGCAACACAGTGATGAAGAGCGGGGAAGAACGTGATCGAATCGCCGCCAAACAAAACCTCATTGACTTCGAGATGGAAGGCGCAGGGGCCTGGGCTGAAGTCCCTTGTATTGTTGTGAAAGTCGTCTGTGACTATGCCGATAGCCACAAGGACAAGGCCTGGCAAGACTTTGCGGCAGCCACGGCTGCATCTGTGGCCAAGGCCATCCTGGGGCGATACGCGGCTCACGACGGGGACCGAGCTTCAAATCAGCCGAATGGTAGGACCTAATTATGCTTATCTGTTCTTCCAGACTTTTCAGACTGACGTGCGTGAAGATCAGCGGCCATTGGGTGAACGAAGGGTGATATTGCATGTCGTTGGAGCCAAGGTAGAGAGGGCGCGATACTGGGTCCTGCATGTACCCCCGCGACCACGAATGGTGGCTCCGATACGTCTGCTGACCAGCCATCGTCATGTCCGACCCTAAAAGGTACACGGTCGGCTGGCTCTCAGCCATCTCCACAGAGTCCGTGGCCGCGCAGCAGTTCCTTGACGAGCGACATGATCCTCCTGAGTATACAGCCCCGCACGACAATAATGTCTACGTGCTGGGGCGGATGGGCCGCCACAACGTCGTGATGGCGTCGCTCCCCGACGGCGAGTCGGGCACCACAACGGCAGTGACCGTAGCCAGGGACATGCTCCACAGCTTCCCCAACATTCGCGTCGGGCTCCTGGTCGGCATCGGTGGCGGCGCCCCGAGCCGTAAAAGTGACGTGCGCCTGGGTGACATTGTGGTCAGCAGTCGCTCTGGCGAACACAAACAGGACGGCGTGTTTCGGTACGATTACGGCAAGTCGATCCAGGGCCAGGAGTTCCAGCATACACAGTTACTCGACCAGCCACCTATGCTACTACGAATAGCAGTTGGGGCGCTCAAAACGCGCTACGAAGCTGACGGGCACGACCTCAAGGACCAGGTCGAGAAAGACTAGGCAATCGCGGTAACACGGGTTGATATCTCCAATTGGGTTGCCAGTCGATATAGTATTTATGTAGTGAAGCTCATGTGAAGAGCCAGTCCTTGATCAGTCACCCTGCTCACCTAGAATTCGTACGAATCATGGTCGGACGAAGAGCCGGTCCTTGATTAGTCACATAGTCCTCATGATTCGTACGAAACTCACTCGTACGAATAGCCGGTCCTGATCACGGCCCCCGAAACAAAGCGATCAGTTATTCCGCTCTGACATTGTGCACGGCGACGTTTGTGGCGACGAATGCAGGTTCAATGCTCAGCACCTCGTCGCCCGGCCGGATCGCGAGGAGGATGA